CAAACAAAACTACAGTAGCTCCTTATATCCCTCCAGGTAAGCATTTCTTTTGTATATCAGGTGAGAAACAATACAGTGCGTGGGTAGAGGAGTAAATACAGAGATTTCACATTATTAATATTAAATGTGATTAAATATAATACTGCATAGCTCTTGAAAAATTGAGCGGACAGCTACTAATTTTTCTTCAACAGATTCAACATGAAGGTGAGGGTAGGAAACAAGCTCTTCGAGACATGTTATCTGATTTCAGCTACAAAAGATTGTAATTCTTCTCCCACCTGAAGTGTGAAAATGAATCTCTTCTCTTTTCTTTGTTCAAACAATCTCCCCACCTCTCCTTTTTTTATTATTGGTGGGAAATAACATGTTTTTTTTTTCTGTCCAGCTGTGATTTTTAATAATTTCTGTTAAAGTGACCTATGTCATGGCAACTCTTTTCTAAGGCTATTTGGGGAATGTATGAGCAACAGCTGATATGCTAAAGCTGCTGCTATGCAAACTCAGAAAGGCAGCATGGTCTGTAGATTACTTTTACTTCGCAGGCAAAAGATTCTTCTAAATCTCAAGAAGATCAAGAGGTCAAGAGATAAAAATCAAGGTCAGGGACAGTAGGGGGAAACTTTGGTCCCATGGAAATATGTAGAAGATTTATTACTGCTTTCAACGGAACTAGATTTTTACCCTTGATTTGAATAGGAAAGGATAGAAAAGGTCCTATAAAGATCCAAAATAGCTTTTGAAGCTAAGATCCGTGGTTTCTGGAGGACGATTCATATTAAAATAGATATGCCAAGCCAAGCTTTCTACTTGCTAACTGACTGTAGGGTTTCTCAAACTGTGTCCATCCCCTGAGTATTTTGTACACTTAGGGTTCCTTTTCACAGAGAAAATAAAGGGAGAAAAGAATGTAAGAGAAAGTGCTTTATTGTATAAAATACCCAGGGGAAGAATCCTACTTTTTCACGTATGCTAGATAAACTGACTGGCAATCGGCTAAACTAAGTAAGGAGGAAAGCGTAAAAGAGAAATGCTATCTTGTGAGCAGGGAGCAGGCTTGTGTACCTACCAGGCTTCACCTGCCATCAAATTTGGGTTGGCTAGTTCAAACATCTCATTGGAAAGATGAGAGGTACAAGAAACAAGCTTTCCTTAAGTTCAGCAGTCTTTCCTATGGTGAACGGCTTTGGGCTTCAGGGCGATGCAGGCTGCCAGTGCACTTTGACAGCATGCACGAGTAACACCTTTCTGGGAGCTAGAAATAAGAAAAAGCTGAAATAAAATACAGCACTCATCAAATTTCAAGGCCCTTCCCTGCTCCTCTAGAAAGGCTTAAAATGTTTCAGTGAAAAAAGAAAACACAAAAAAACCCACAATGTTTTAAAAGTATTTGAAGGGTGTCTCATTGATTTATTGAGAGTGATAGTGTGTGGAAAGAAACAGCCTCGTTCTCTTCAAGCCTACAGCAAACCTTACCGAGCTCTGGAACAAGAATGATGTTTCCTTCCATGAGTGAAGGAGAAAGGGGGTCTTTTGACTCCTTGGTGGTTGTTGAGCATGTCTGTGGGATGTAGAAGCTTTCAGAGTGGGATGGAGATCTACACTGCACAAGGCAGCTTCATGCAGGCGTGGGCAAGTCATATCTAGATAATAACTCTGGGATGGGATAAATGTAACTGCGCAGGATAGTGACCACATTAGAATTGTTTAGTATGCAAGGCACAGTGATGAGATGGATAGACTCCCTGGGACCAAAATAATTATATCTTTTTAGCATTGCCTTTTTCTCGATTGCCAGCTAGCTTAGGCACTGCTACGTGTCACTGCTCTGTGTGGGAATCACAGAGCTCAAAGGCTACAACCCGAAATGGAAAGGATGATTACGGATTCACAGATTTCCAGAGAATTATCACCACTGATATCAACCGAGGACCTACTACGGTATTGTCTGTGGGTTCATGTGACACCCAGAGAAACAGGAATCCCCAGAGGGGCTCCCACTTGGAGGATGTGTGCATAAGTATTGTCACCTTTAGGCAGAGAGTGGTCTCTGAGGCTAGGTGGTCTCATGAAGGATGACCTGAGCAACTGTGGAGACCAGCAGGTTTCCTGCCTGTTCAGAGTGGCCAGTTATACAGATAACCTGGGTATGTATGTTCAGATCCCTGCTAATCTACACAGGTCTGACATATTCTGATTTTGTGTGCCTGGTGGAGACTAAAAGTTGTTCTCTGGGCAGAGGTGGCAATTCCTAGTTTCCTACGGTAATTTCTGAAATGTTGTGTAGCAATTACATGTAGCACAGACCAATTCTGTATCTGAAGAGAAGTAGTAGAAGGAAGATGTTATTGCTTGGGGAGCAAACTGTTTTTTCTAGGTGATCATTTTGGAATCTTTGCATGGAGCTCTGAAGCTCTCTAGCACTCATTTTTGTGCTTGAACACAATTTCCATACGTTTTCTCTGCAAGCTTGGATGCCCTGAATTCCTGCCAAACCATTTGGCCTTGCCCTGCTTTTAGTTCATATTATATTTATAATGTTTGTATTAAACTGACTCTTTGTCCTGTTTTCAAACTGAGTTTTATTTCCCCCTTCCTCCTCTCCCCTGCATATTTTGGGTAGGCAACATGAACTTGAGAGAGCTTGGCTAATCCCCAAGCTGTCTAAGACCATGAGTCTAAAGGCAAGTTTAATTAAAGCTTCTTGCTTCACAGTGCTGTAGCATGCAGCCCCTCTGACTCTGTCCCCCAAGGCTTTTGCTGCTGCATTTCTCAGAGTGAGCAGGCCTGTTTTTAAGCAACATATTAGAAAAAACAATCAAGGGTCTCCATTTGCCTTACCCTTTGATTGGAGAGGTCTAAGTGACTGAGATGGGACTCAGTACATGTATAGTTAATCATCATCAAGTTTCCCATCTGCAGGAAATCCCAGCATCTCCCACTGCACTTCTGAAGTGGGAAGAAATGTTTATCCATTTGTCTTTTTTTTTCCTTTTGTGATGATCTCATCTGGCTGCATCAGGGCAGGTGTAAAGAGAAAAGGACCCCATGATGGTTCTTTGAGGACTCTGCAGCAGATTGTCATGTATCACTGAAATGATCTGAGAGAGGTGGGGGGAAGAAGTGAGTCAGATGAAATTCTCATTGCCAAAAAAAAATAGGAGAGAGAGAGAGAGAAGCTGTTTTTCCAGCTTCTGTGTATTTAGAAAATAATGATTCTTAGCTACTGGTGAATATGAATAGGTGTCACCAGGGATAAGACTTGCTGTAGCCTGATACTTAAGCATTCCTGTTGGAGCATTACGGAGATTTCATGATTTCACTTTTACAGTAAATTTTACTTCCTGTCTACCCAACATATTTATTTCCTTGAATATCTTGGGTTGCATTCTGTAATGGGTATGTCCAAGCAGTGTGAGAGAAAGACATCTCACAGACATCTCAGGGGAGCAGGTCAGGACCTCTTCTAGGTTTTACATGAGGGACTGAACTGCTCCTGAAGTACATACCTTCACTGGCTATGAAGGGAGCTTAGATGAAGCATCTGAATCTGTAGCTGTTTGAAGATATGATGACTTCCAGTCTTCCATCTCATCCTGTTTTGAAATATATACTTTCTCTGACTCATTGCTATCAGCCTGTGTTCCTGCCTGATGGTGTATGGGTACAGACTGAGGTGTTTGTGGGTCTTCCTAGGTCAGTGAGGTGGTAGGAGTACACATGAGACTTTCCCTGAGATGTCCTCTGTCTACTGTGGCTCAGGTCATGATAAGGCTGGTAACAGTTCTCACCTCTGGATGCAGTGGGTCATATGATGGGAGAGGAGGTGCGGGAGGATGGGTGAAAGCGGCGTCAGCTGGATGTGTCTGATGCTCCATCCTGCAGCCCATCAGCCAAGCGCCAGCTCCTTTTCTGATCAATCAGAAGAGGATCAGTAAATAACTGGGCTGAGATCCTGGTGTTTTTTGTAGGGAGGAGAGGTCTGTGCCTATGTATTTGTTAGTCCTCTCTCGTTTGTTATTTGATAGTTTTCTCTCGTGTTGATTGCCTGAATGTGAAATGAGAAGGTGAAAATATCAGCACTTCATTTACCAGTGTCCTAAAATAGTGGAAAAAAAAGGAGTTAAAAGCGTGAAAGTTCTAATAATGCATATGGATTTATTTCAAGTACCTTCTAATATTTACAAAATTACATGACACTTTGTTTCCTTTGTGCATTTTTCCCCACAAGATTCAGGCGAGTTTAGATTAAATAAACAACAATGAATTCTTCTGAACCTGTGCAGAAGACAGATCACCCCCTGACTACCACAGAATTTTTCAGTTAAAAAGGAAAGGAAGAGTTTTTCAAGGAAATCAGAATCAAGCATATACTATACAGAAACCTCAGACAATTTTTGATGTCATTAAAACGGAACACGCTTCTAACTTTATTTTAATAATTCATCGTTTCATAAATAAAAACCAAACAAGTGTTCAGCAGAGAGATCTCTTTAAGGGAAGAAATAATAATTTATTATTTCTTTTGTAAAAAAAGGTCTCTCTGCTGAACACACGTTTGTTTTTTATTTATGAAACAATGTATGAATTATTAAAATAAAGCTGGAATTGTGTTCTGTTTAATGACATGAAAAATTATTTGAGGTCGCATATAGATGAGCTTAGCAGTGCTTCACTACCTGCAAGCTTTGGTGCTATGCTTTTCTAAACAAATCAAGAATTTTAGAACATTTAATAACCATTTAATTCTGAGAGAAGTATATTGTGATTTAAGCACAATAATATATTCAATATGTCATCAGTTAAAAGGAAGTTCTTATGGCAGGGGTAACAATACACAATAGAGATATAAGAAAAAAATCCAATTCGCATTGATTTATGGAGCTGGCAGGCTGGAAAGCATTTAGCACTGCCTGCATCAGCTTTCTTCCTTTGCATGAGCTGCGGTACGAGCACCTCCAAATGTTGACATTTGTGCCAAGTACTGAGGCCATGTTACTAGCCCTGCAATGTGCCATTTCCAGAGATGCTTCCTGCCTAGCCATACAGCGGTGTCTTCCTTGAGTGCTATATTTGGAAATGAGGTTTCTGCTCCAAGGTCTCAGCAGTCCTTCCTTGGCAAAACACAGGAATGCTGCATTGCTGTCATTTGTGGTGATACTGAAGACAGTGTTTGCCTGAGTTGACCTGCCTTTCCACCATAAGAATCCTTGGGCACAGAGGGAGATGGTGTTACTTGAACCTGACATCATCTTTGTGCCATGAGCTGGGCATTTGGTCACGCAGGGCTGCCCCATGGCGAATACTGACCTCGGGGAAATTGCCAACATGGCCTGAGGACACAGTGATTTAGCAGTGGCCGCTCGGCAGCTGGGGCTCTGCACAGTCTAAAACTGCCATCAGCCTTCCTCACGGGTATTGAGGACGCTGCAGTTGCATCTCATGTCCTCCACAAATTTAGTGCAAGATAGCAGGGGACTCTGAGGGGTGACAATTTTAGTGGAAGCAGAGAAACGCTGCAACTTGAGTAAGGAAAAGATGTGGAGAACCTCACTGCCCAAAACAACTTTACACAAGGGCGCAAATGTTACCCTCCAGCAAATTACGTGGACAATTCTAACATTCGGACCACAAAATATCTTGCTCCTGAGATAGGTCACCTTCCCCATGGCAATGCAGATCAGAAGAAAATCTTATCCCAGTCTTTTCCCAGAAAGAACATATCAGATTTGTCTGTCTCTGCATTTTTCTCTGTCTGTGAAATAATAACTGGATATCCTCAAGCACAAGAGATGTCCCAGGCTTTTCCTGGCAGTGACTTTATGAGTTGTCAATTCAGCATCATAAGTATTGTTCAGCCTTTCTTAAGGATGGACAATGTTGAAGGCAGAAAGTAAATTTGCTGTTATTTCTCTTTCTCCTCTGTGCTAAGACAAAGGGTCAAAAGAGTTGGTTGTATGATAGACATTTTTTCATTAGAACTGAGCTTGTGGTCAGTCTTTTGATGGAGCTGTAAGCAATCTCATACCCACTCCAAATACTACAGTCATAAAGCACAGGTTTGACTTTCATTGCCATAGTTAGCGGTGCATGAAGTTCTTGTTCTGAGGGGTATATTATTAATATGAAACTATTGTTGCCATTAATTTATCAATAAATTGAAACATAAGACTTGGGTCTATGCAGAAATTCTTCATCTTTAGGAAAGTATGGTCAGAGCACGCCTCTGAAATGGAAAACTCTTGAATACCTCTAAGCTTGTGAGCTGGTGCCAGTCACACAAAATCTCTGTCTCTGTTACCTCTCGAGCGTACTCTCAAAGCAAAAAATCTGGGACACTATGGTGACAATCATGTGAAAAGGTAAAGTTTACACTTGGAAAAAAAGGAAAAAAAAAGCTTGTTGGTTTTGATAGTGGCTGCTTTGGACTCATCAGACACACACACATTTTTCCATGTGCAATATTTTTGCACTGGTAACTTGGGATGTTCAAAGTTTTTCAGGAAAAAGGAATATCCCTTCTATTCACCAAGTGTGAAAATAAAACATTTTTTTGGATCTAGATTCCTTTTAACTTTCTTTTTGTTCCAAACACTATTCATCATTGAATGTTTATTCCTCTTGGTTGTTTTCTCCTAGTAAATGTGGAATAAATTTTATTTGGCCCAACAATGCATCTTTAGAAATATTCTGTAGGTTAAAAAAGCCAAACATTTTGACTAAAGAAAAAAAAAGGCTATTTCAATGGTCTTGAAAATGATTTCATGGTTACTATATGGGAAGGAATTGTTCTGGTTCATCTTGAGGTTCTATTCTACCTCACATGCACACTCAGAAGAGCATCTATCTATCTACATTGCCTAGGCTGTGCTTGTCACTGTCTGCAGAATTCTTTGGGGGCCTGAGGTGGAAGGCACCATGTGGCTATGATGCACTGTTGTAAAGCTGTGATGCTGACAGCAGAATGCTGATCCGAAATGTGACTCTGGAATTACTTCTGCTACTTCTCGGTTCTACACTTCAGTGATATAAACAGAAACAAGAGGCTCCTTTTTATTTATTTTTTCCTCTCTCCCATGTTCTCAGTTCCGCTGAGGGAGAAAATAACCTAAAATGCTTCTGAAATGGTATTTTCCAAGGGATTTCCTTGTGCATCAGGCTGGCAGGCATCAACTAGGTAGAAGCAGAAATCTGCCTCTTGTCTGGAACAGCTCCGTGAGCACTTATTTTCTGCAAGTGAATCCTAACTGAGGATGAATGTTCTTATCACTTTTTCCCCTAAAATGTAGTTGTAAATGGTATGTACTCTTTGACCACCAGATTTCTAAGGTAATCTGAAACACTTAGCGACATCCAGTTGCTGAACTTGGTCCAAAATGAACATTTTACACTTGAAGTTATTCATTTATGACTGTGCTTTGCAACAAAGCTTTGCAATGCAAAACTACTTTCTAAAAACACTTTTGGAAAATCTGTTTCTTCTCTTTGATTGCAGGTAGCTGCATTCACCGTGGACCAACGAATGTTAGCCAGCCCTATGTTGTAAAGCTGAACTGGAGAGGATTTTCCTACAAATATGGTTCCTGGGGTAGAGATTACTCTCCTTCTAATCTGGAGGAAGAAGTCTACTGGGTTGCACCATTGAATACAGATGGGAGATACTTGGAATATTATAGAATTTATTATTCCTTTGATAATTTGTTGCTGTTTACACCAACATACGAACGTAGAATAACATATGGGGAAGGCAGTGGTGCTGCTCTTTATGATAATTTTTTGTACTATCATGCTTATAATACAAGAAATATGGTGAAGCACAATATAAAAACAAACTCTGTGGTTTTGACTAAGACACTTCCAGATGCTGTTATTGGTAACCGCTTCTCCTATGCAGGTGTATCATGGCAAGACATAGACTTTGCCGTCGATGAAGGCGGGTTATGGGTAGTGTATTCAACACAAAATAGCATGGGTAACATCGTGATTAGCAAACTCAATGAGACCACACTTGATGTGCTAAATACTTGGCAGACAAGACAGTACAAGCCATCTGTTTCCAATGCTTTCATGATATGTGGTGTTCTGTATGCCACAAGGACACTGAGTACTAGGAAAGAGGAAATCTTCTACATGTATGACACAAGTACTGGTCGCGAAGGTACTATTAGTATTATTATGGATAAAAAATTAGATACAATCCAGAGTATAAATTATAACCCCATAGATCAAAGACTTTATGTTTACAATGATGGTTATCTTCTCAGGTATGATATAACCTTTCAATCTTAGTATCTCAGTGATATAACCACATGGTGAAACTGTGCAGCAGCCAAAATGAGAGATCTGGTATGACTTTTGTTAAAGCTAACGGCAGTTTATAGTTCATTTGGTCTGATGAACAGTATCTACTGGATGTTATATATATTACTTCGATTAGTTTCCTTAGAGGAATGACTTGCTCTTATCAGTGCTATTGCTAGCAACAGTTCGGCAATACTGGGTTCTTCAGGTTTTGATTGGTGCTTATTGGTGCTTGGTGCATTATAAGTATCTTGCCTCTAAAAGTAGATTTAGTGCATAGATTTAATGCATTTTCTTCACAGAAATTGATGAGCACAGCTTGCCCACTGACCGAGAAGCTAATTATCCACCAACATGCATTTGTCAGTGTTATACAGGCACACAGAAACAGAGAATGAATTCCCACTGATCTTCATTAGAGTAAACGGAGGCCTCAGAGAAATTAATAGAGAGTTTATAATCGTATAGGAGGTCGGACTTGGTCTGGAGAAAGCAGACCATTTGTTAGGTTAGAACAGTAGTAGCTAACTAAAGGCTTCAGGAGAGGATCTAGAAATGCAATTTGTTGTCAGAAGTCCTGCTGTGCAAGAGCAAGAGAAAGCATTGGGGCAGCAACAAAGCACAGAGCCTTCAGCGTGCATCTCACTGCCCGCGCTGCTGCTCATCGCAGTGGGACAGCTCCCCTGGGAGCTCCTTCTCACCTGCAGCTGCCCCTCCATGGCCCAGCTGTCTCCTGAGGGGGCTTCCCAGAGTGAATGCAGAGGCAGAGCTGCCAGCAGGACATTCACTATCTTCCTCCCGCTCCGCTGCCCTTGGCACTTCCTTGTGCCTTGACCTGGCCTCATACGTGGCACTATTGCAATCTGGCCGTGTTTTGTAGTCACCATGTCTCCATTCTCCTGGCAGTACGATGCAGGAAACACTGTTTTCCTTTCCTTTATGCCATTGTAAACTGATCTAAACCCTTCCATTGACTGCTGTGGTCACAGGTAGCTCTTAGTTGTTAATCGTGCACTGCTGTAGAATGATGGCTGTGTTATTTAACATGCTTCTATTCAGCATTTTTGACATTCTGTAATTAGATTCCTGAGAGCCTTGTTCACGTAAGTGATACTTGTCTAATTTCATCTTATGGTAAAGTAAATGGTCTTGCAGAAAGCAGAAGTCTGGTCAAACAAGCTGGATATGTGTTTGTTTTTTAAATGGCTAGTGTATAATTGTTTCTGAATGTGTGTCCTGTATCAGCGTGTTACATTCATCATGTCAGAAAGCAAATTGAAATAATGTAATTCTGAGTTACACAATGATGAAAAAGGCAGTTTTCATTGTTCATTTTATTCTATTACCTCTGCAATCATGTTTGTGTCTTCTCATAATCAAAAGCAATGTGCATGCAAATGGTTACTTGCTGCTTAATAAAAAAATCTTTAAAAGAATCTGAGTGGTACTCAAGAGCCATTTAAAGCTGCTTGTGACAACTTGGTAACTTCTGGGATTCTGCAGGAAGTCAGCCTGACCAAATGTTTGAAACAGGATCATTGCACTCACTTGGGCTCGGCGTACTTAAATAGCTCTGGGAATAACATCAGAGTGTGAATCGATATGTCAACAAATACATAAAAGGAGCTTTATTTCGTCACCTTGAACTATACTAGCTGGATAGGATAACATTTCTGCACCTAGGTGAGATGTTATTTGAGACGTTGGAGGCTGATGAACTGATGACACATTTTGAAGCCAGGTCCTGCCACTTACCAGGTATCAGCATCTGTTTCTTGGAAACATGCAAAATGAATTTGAAAGCCATGGAAGCACTGGTGCAGTAATCTGATCAGTGAGCACAGGCACAGCTTGCTTGTAAATAGACCATAACAGCCCAAATAAGGATTTGGCTGTAAAAAAAAAGAAGAAAATACTGCAAAATGTATTTTTTTTCTATATTTTTCTGTGTCATGGAAGGTGAATAGATTTCCACCTATTATCCATAGCTGCCTTAGGCAGAGGCTTTGGAGTGCCTTAGCTCACCATGTTTTAAGGTGTGAGCTGATGTTAACATGAGTGTGACTGATTCTGGTGAGTTAACTGTGATTCTCACAGTAATCCCTGGAGACAGGTTATTACAGGATAGCCTTTCCCTCACTGGAAATGGTGGTCAGCATGCATGGACAGTGGAGGTAGGGATGTAGGAGCTGCCCATCACATTCTACTGCTTTGGGACCCAGACAGATGTGATCTGGTACTGGTCTTCAGGGAGAGATCACCATGGGTGGCCCAGAAGCCTGGGGTGACAGTCATCTTTTCCAGGTAGCAGTCAACATTGCTACGAAGAAGATATTTAAAAGATGATCAGACTAGATTCCATTAGCTCAAAGAGAAAAGAGAATATAAAATCTTAATGTGCCTTTTGTGGGGGAGAGGCTTGGTCAGGATATCTCAGGCTTGTCAAGGCTGAGTTTGGGCTTTGACCTTGTCCTCCAGTAAGGTACGCAGGAACCTGGAGTAGAGGCACTGCATGGACTGGTGACTCTCTGTGCCTGGGGCCAGGACTAGCAGGATCTCCTAGTGGGACAAGGTGGGTCCATCCCATGGGAGGAGACGGGCATGGGGAGATGTCAGAGCAGCCCCAGCCCCATGGGCATGGACACTGCTTTGGGGACAGGAGTGGGCCGAGCCTGGGCCAGACTCTGACAGCTGGCAATGCTTGTATTAAAGTTTTAAGGTGCTTTAGGGATATGTAGAAATATCACTGTCATTTTAGAAATAGAAAAATAGAGGCATGAAATTACTACAGCCCAGCTGTTGCCCTATTGACTTGGCATTCCCTGCAGAGGTTTTGGGGAATATAAACAATATTGAACATAAATAGTACCTGCCACAGAGCCTGGAGAACAAGACACCAGTTTGTATGGTGTCACAGAGAAATATAGTATAGGGACTTCAATGTAATTTCATTGATGAGGGGTTTTCACACTGCCTGACTCTAGGAACATAAGCTAGGAGACTAGTCTGTCATCCAAGCAAAAATCACATAGAAGGAAAGAGGTACCCTTTACATTTTAATCAGAGCACTTTAAGAATAGGGAGTAATACATCTTTTTACTTCTTCCTCTTGTCCTCTCAGGCCTTGGATGATGGTGGTTCAGTGGAACTGGCTGTTAAAATCGATTTCTGTTCTTGAACTGGCCATGAAATACAACCTCAGGCAGTCTTCACTCACTGTCCCTGCTGCACCTCTCCTGTAGACAGGGCTACCTTTGCTTTATTTGAGGTGTGTTTCCTCCTCTTCCTCCTAGGACATAGAGAAATCTTCACCCAGAAGCATCTCAACACTAGCTGTTCCTTGTTTGGTATCTTCATAATACCATTTATTAGACATGGCTATTGCTTTCAGTGACTGAAGTTTCAGCTTTCCTGACATCTATTGAGCTCCGGCCTTTTCTTCTTAAGTCTATTCCAACTGGAGCCACAAAATCATCCTTTCCTTTCCTTTCCTTTCCTTTCCTTTCCTTTCCTTTCCTTTCCTTTCCTTTCCTTTCCTTTCCTTTCCTTTCCTTTCCTTTCCTTTCCTTTCCTTCCCTTCCCTTCCCTTCCCTTCCCTTTCCTTTCCTTTCCTTTCCTTTCCTTTCCTTTCCTTTCCTTTCCTTTCCTTTCCTTTCCTTCCTTCCCTTTCCCTTCCCTTCCCTTCCCTTCCCTTCCCTTCCCTTCCCTTCCCTTCCTTTCCCTCTCTCTTTTTTTCTTGATACCTCCACCCTCCCTTTTAGCAGGTTAGGTGGAAGCTGCTTATTCCAGGAATTTCTCAGCCTTGCCTCATAGCCACCCCCTTAACCAATCCTCCCTACTGCTGCCTGATTGATGCCAACCTCCCATGTCCACTTGTCCCCTTGTCACGGACCTCTTTTTTCTCCCACACTGACACTTCTGTCTGAGACACCCTCCCAAACAGATCTATCTGTCAGCTCCCCTGGGCTCCTCTGAATCTCTCATCAAGGCCAACTTCTGCTGTGAAGCTACTGATAAATTGCCAACTGATTACAGACAACTTGTTGCCTTCAGTATGCGACTGATATTTATTTGCATCGTATATTCAATTAGCTGGCACATGAGAGCATAAAGCTGGCATATATAAACTCTCTTATTATTCATTCCCGTATGTCACCCCCTAACTGTCCACTACTTTCACTGCTTGTATCTCGCCTTAAATGAGACTGAATATGCCTCAAGAGAAAGACCCGTCTTTTTGTTTCAGGTAGCACAGTGCCAGCATAGGCAGTTGCTACTTTCCTCCTCTCTCCTAGATACTTCTGAGTAATAAACAATAAACAACAGCAATAGCTGGGCAGGGACTGTTGCATGCATCTGTGTTTTTGTCTGAATTTTCATGCATGCTGCTACGTGTACTGAATATAAATTGGCTTTGAAAAGTAGGCAAACAATATGCTTCCAGACAACTGAGTAAACATTCTGCTGGAAAAAGTGTTTCAGTCGCTATGTGCGCATAGTGTAGCTACAATTCACCCCTAAATTTGTACCCCATGAGGTAGGATCACTTTCCTGTAAATGTTAGATTGATTTCCTTTTATTGCATATTTCTGCGCAATAGTTGCTCCCCAAAAGCCAAAGACCAGTGGCACAAGAGAACTTGCAGTCATGGTGTTTTCCACACCATGGAATAACCTGTAGTTTTTCAGGGTGATAAGTTCTTTTTCTGATAGGACAAAATGCGTGTTTGCAGCTGAGCCAGGTTTGAGGAGATCATAATTAAAGACTCATAACATTGCAGTTTGTGAAAGTGAGAGCCTGTGAGGGTAAATGTGTGTGTCTAGCAGGAATCCTGCCTTCCCCTCTGCTCGCTGGGCTGCTGCCAGGTTGCAAGCTGTTAGCCATGTACCAGGGAACAAATGAAGTGAGAGAAACTGCATGGGCAACCGTTCTTGAGAGCTCCTCAGGGAATGGCTCCTGCCACTGGCCTACATTTTCTGGGCCAGTTGGGCTGTACTTAGCATTAGGCCATGGGTGGGGAAAAACTTGGCTTTA